AGCATGAAAAGTGCAAGACAGGGCCAGCCACAGTCACTCACGTCTGTAATCCTAGCACTCTGGGAGGCTGAGGTGAGTAGATCACCTAAGCTCAGGAGTTTGAGACCAGCCTGAACAAGAACGAGACCCTGTTTCTATCAAAAATAGAAAAACTAGCTGGGTGCTGTGGTCCATGCACTCGGGAGGCTGAGGCAGGATGATCGCTTAAGCCCAAGAGTTTGAGGTTTCTGTGAGCTAGGCTAATGCCATGGCACCCTACCCAGGGCAACAGAGTGAGACTGGTCTGAAAAAAAAGAAAAAAAGGCCAGGTGAGGTTGTTCACGCTTGTAATCCCAGCATTCTGGGAGGCTGAGGTGGATGAACTGTGGGAGCTCAGGAGTTAGAGACCAGCCTGAGCAAAAGAGAGACCTTGTCTCTACTAAAAACAGAAAAAGTAGCTAAAGATGCACCATGGCGGGCATCTGTAGTCTCAGCTACTTGGGTGGCCGAGGCAAGAGGATTGCTCAAGCCCAAGACTTTGAGGTTGCAGTGAGTTATGACACCATGGCACTCTCCCAAGGGGGCAAAAGAGTGAGACTCTGTCTCAAAAAAGAAAGATCAAATGAAAGGAGGATTACCTTTTGTTTAAAAGTAAAACACCACTGTTTATTGCATTTTGCCCTTATTTTGTAAAAATATATACACAATAGAAAAATGAAAGGGTGCCCTTGAGACAGATGGAAACCCTTTTGCAAGTGGTGGCTCTTAAGCCTCAGTCCAAGGCTCTCTGCATCGGGGTGGTCAGTGGTGTGTGTGTGTGACGTACAAAATATAAGCACTGCATTGTCTCAGAATATGTCCAGAAGAGGGCTAGCACTAAGCAGGTCCCCACGTACCTTTCTAACTGCACGTCCCATCTTTCATCCTGCCCTGGCACATTCAGTTTGGTAGCTCCGTGTGCAGCGGAGCCTGGAGGGAGGGGAGCCCCCTGTTTCTGAGGGGGGCAGGGCAGGCCCTAGAGGGGACGAGAACGCCACTCGGGTCTGCAGCAGGTTTGCCAGGCTATGTGGAGACGGGCTCTCGGGGCAGAGAGCACAGCCCAGGGAGAGGCAGGAGGCACAGGGAATGGAGGCTTTCCCAGATGTGACTGCAGGGTGAGCAGCAGTGAGCGATGGTCGGAAGTGGGGAGTGGGCAGAAACCCAGGTCTGCACCACTGAGACCACGCACCGGGCTCGGAAAAGCTTAGGTTTCGTCCTCCAGGAAGTGAGGAGCCAGAAGACACTTTTATTTCTTTATTTTTTTAATTTTTTATTTTTCGGTAACACATGATTTTTAAAATATTTTTATTATTTATATTTTTTGCAGTTTTTTTCTGGCTGGGGCTGGTTTTGAACCTGCCACCTCTGGCATATGGGGCTGGCACCTACTCCTTTGAGCCACAGGCACCACCCGATTTTTAAAATTTTTAATTGTGGTTTACAGCAGAAACTTTTAATCAGGGAGAAACAGGAGGAGAGCTGCAGGGAGTGGGAATGCACTAGGTAGGCATGGATGAGGCAGAGGAGCTCTGGGAAGAAGGTCCAAAGCTTGGGGGCAAAACCACAGGGCCTTGAGCTGTGAGGCTCTAAGGTGTCCGGCCATCACTTCAAGGTTTGTTGAGTAAACAAAGAACTGGCTGCACCTGGCCAAAGGCAGTCTCGGGGTCTCAGGGGCTCAGTCCTTCCCACTCTTGGGCCACTGTGAACCACTGCTGGAGGTAACACAGACCCAAGAGAGCACCTGGCTGCCATAAGGGTTCACTGTGGGGTCTTTTTTTTTTTTTTTAAGACAGAGTCTCACTTTGTTGCCCTCAGTAGAATGCTGGTGTCACAGCTCATAGCAACCTCAAACTCTTGGGTTCAAGCAATTCTCTTGTCTCAGCCTCCCAAGTAGCTGGGACTTAGGTGCCTGCCACAAGGCACAGCTATTTTTAGAGACGAAGTCTTGCTCTGGCTCAGGCTGGTCTCGAACTTGTGAGCTCAGGCAAACCACCTGCCTGATTCTCCTAGATTGCTAGGATTACAGGCATGAGCCACCATGCCCTTGAGCAATCCTTTTGCCTCAACCGCCCAAGTAGCTGGGACTACAGTTACCTGCCACAGTGTCTGGCTAGTTTTTCTATTTTTAGTAGAGATGGGGTGTCACTCTTGCTCAGGCTGGTCTCAGACTCCTGAGCCCAAGAGATACATTGCCTCGGCCTCCCAGAGTGCTAGGATCACAGGCGTCAGCTACCACACCTGGGCCTATGTTAAAGTGTTAACCCCAAGTCCAGCAGCCTGACTAAATAATTTGGAGACAGGGCCTTTAAAGAAGGGATTAAGTTTAAATGAAGCTGTTATGGTCGGACCTACTCCAAGGACTGCTGTCCTTATGAGAAGGAGTTTAGACACACAGAGACATCAGGTGCATGAGTGCACAGAGGACACAAGGAGAAGGTGGACACCCACAAACTGAGAAATGGACGTCTGTTATTTAAGCTGTCCAGTCTGGGGTGTTTCGTTATAGCAGCTCTGGCAAACTCATACACTGTGCGTCTAAAGAAAGGAAATAAATTTCATGGAAATTGTGAATTGGTGACGCCCTCAGAGATAGACAGCTGATGTCACCCTAACTGGTCCCCAGGGCAGGCCAGGGCTGGGCTCAACCCCAGTCACCTCACTGACCAGAGCCTCAGCAGTTTATGACTGAACAGGGACCAAGTTTGATTTCCCACGTTCTGGGATAATTTTGAAATTCAGCTTTTTCCTCCAGTGGAGGGAGTGGAGAAGGGAGGAGTAACATGAAGCCTCTCTGGTGTCAGGAGCCCATGACTAACGTCCTCAAAGCCCAGAGCAGATGAGAGTGGCAGAGGGGACGGGCAGGCTGCTATAGCCTCAGAGAGACTCACCCTGCAGTTGACACCCTGCAGGTGGCACAGTGCCATCTATGGCTGCCCTGCTGATTCAAGCGTGATGCAAAGTGCTGAAGCAGAGAGAGACACCAGAGAAAGAGAGAGACAGATACCTATCTCTCTGCTTGTCTGCTGCCTGAGGAGATGGTTTTGCCCTTGTGTCCTGCGAGCAGGATCTGTTGGGGCCCTGTGGCCTCTAGAACTGCCTCCTCCCGTGTCTGCACAAACCCACTGATTAATCCAGAGTGATATCAGAAGACAGCAGCTCCACCCGGCAGGTGACAACAGAGATAACAGGAAGGCAACAGGGGTCTGCGGATTTCACATCCACT